TATACAAATTTTAAATTATCAACCAGCTACTTTATGCCCTTTATTCCCTTGTGCCCAGCTTAGAGTCAGTGGTTATGGGTGACCAACGATTCCAGTCTGCCTGGGACTCAGGAGTTTCCCAGGATGCTGGACTTTCAGCACCAAAAACTGTGAGGTCCTGGGAAACCTGGGACAAGTTGCTTGCCCTATCAGTGGTACACACTATAACCCCATTATATACAACTTTTAACCTCTCTATTAGCTAGTATGATAGACACTAGCTATTGTAACATACAAGCCCTACAAGCTCTCACCTGCAAATAGACTGAGAAGGTGTGGAAAACGTACACACAACTATTAACAGCATTGGCCCAGAAACATGTCACTTCTGCTCACACCCCAAGAGCCCAACCTAGAGGCCAAGGCCCTCGAAGGTGAGGTTTAGCTTGTACCCAGGAAGAGGATATGGGCCTCTCCCACAATTCTACTTTTTACCACAAAATACCCACCAAGCATCCATTGTACTTGCCTGGCAAAACCCCAGCCCTGTTACCCTATTGTCCTCCCTTACTTCCTACCTGCACTTGAGCAGCTGACTGACCACAGAAAACACGACCCTGATGCCTTGGCTTCCCTCCAGTTCAGGGCAAGACTCACTGCCCCCCTACACACTGCCCAGCAAATCCAGTATAGCTCCCTGTTAATTCACTCTCCCATTTTCCAAAAAACTATTTCACACATTCTCCTCTCTTCTCAAACATCTAAATCCCTGTTATGCTTCAATTTTGGCTCATAACTGCCTCGTATTTTTCTGAGCTATTTTCTCAGTCTGGCTTTTTATCACTTTTCTCAGCAACAAAAAAGAAAATGTTCCCATCTTGCTGTCATTTAATCAACTAAAATATTGGCACAGGTACACAGATGCTCTGCCTTCCTCTCTCAGTTCCTTTTCTCTTCCTTTCTCTTGCAGAGTAACCTCTCCCCTTGGATAGTCAGCCCCATCCCATCTCACCTTCTCACAACCTTTCTCCTGCAGTGAATTCTTCTGTCCTCTACTGAACCATACTAATCAGCATACAATCATTCTGGAATATCTCCCACTTTTAAAAAAAAATTGATGTAGAACCCTTTTCCCTCTAACTACTATTATATACCTTATGACCAGCCACTTTATAGCAAAATGACTCAAAATTTTGTTTATACTTGTTGGCTCTACTCCCTTGCCTGCAATTAACTTTTTAAACTGCTCCAAAGAATCTTCCATTCTCTCCAATCTAATAAAATTGCTCCTGACAAGATCACCAATGACCCCTTCATGCCAAATCGGATGGACAATTCTCAGTCCTCACCTTGCTTATCAGTAGGTGTGGTGTGATTTATCACTGTTCCTTCTTGAAACATGTTTTCCACTTGGCTCCCAGACTCTGCAGCATCCTTGTGGTTCACCTCGTAACTCACTGCCCTGCACTAATGGCTCCTGACACTTAATGTGGAAATGCCTCCAGACTCAGCCCTCTGCTCTCTCAGCTCCGTTTGACTATATGTCTAGGTGATCTGAGCAATCTCATGGCTCTAACTTACCAAAAATAAATAAAAATAACGTGTGTGTTTGTTTTATAGCTTAATCTTCTCCCCCAAGCTGCAGATTTACATACCCAATTGCCTACACATCTCAATGTAATATCTAATAGACATTGCAAAACTAACATGTCCAAAATAAAACTTTTCTTCCTACTTTTCATGCCACTCTGGTTTCCTTTAGGTAAGCATCATTACTCATGAGGTTATTAACCTCAAAGTCATCCCTATTTCTCTCTCGTCTACATAATCCATAGGTATAAGAAAGCTATGACTTCAAAACACACCCTAAATTTCTAACCACTTCTCACTGCCTCCATAACCATACTCCATTCCAAGACACTCTAATCTTCTATTAGATTACAGTAATAATTTCCTAGAATATTCTCCCTGCTTCCATCTTAGCCAGCTCTCACCTGACCTCTCACCTACCATGCATTTGCCACTCACCTGTCAGCATAATATTTTAAAATTATAAATTGGGTCATGTCGTTCCCCCATTCAATCCCCCCATGTAGAATAAAATCTGAAATCCTTACAGTAGGATCCAAGTCCCTACATAGTTTGGGGACCCCTTTGTGACCTTATTTCCTGCAACTCCCTCCTCTCCTTGGCTCACATTTTTCCTGCTACATTAGCCTTTTGCTACACCTTGGAAATGATACCAGCTGAGTTCTCATTTCTGGTACTTTGCACTTGCTGTTGTCTCTTCCTAGAATCCACATTCTCTACATATTTGCATTGCTTGCTCTCACACCTTACCCATGGCTGAACTCAAGTGGCACCTTCTCAAGTGATGCTTTCATTGACCCATTATTTAAAATTGCTCTTCAACCTGTCACTCTCTAAACTCTGGCCCCCAACCCTGTTATAAGAAATATCTTGTAGCACTGCTCATCACTTGAAATCATGGTATATATTTGTCAATGTTCTTATGAGGGCATGAAATTTGTTCATGTTCACTGTTGAATTCCTATAAACTGAAAGAGGTCCTTGAACATAGTAGGAGAGTAAATATTTGAATTAAAAAAGGAAGTAAAAGAGAGGGAAATGATAAAGGAGAGAGAGAGAGGGAAAGAGGAAGAAAGGAAGGCAGGGAGGAAGCAAGGAAGGAATGAACGAATGAACTAATGAACAAATGGTGGAAGGCTGAGCAAACATTTAATTTGTTTAATGTTGTAGACACTGCTGAGGTAAACACCTTAAACACCCCACTCCACAAATAAATCTAGATACTCAGATGCTTTAGATAAGTGCTATTATTTTTCTCTTCTTGTGTTTATTTCTGAAAATCATGGGAAAATGTTTATTTCTACACCTATTGGTCAATGGAAAATTATGCAGCACCTTCACAGATGCAGGAGAATACATAAGATAAACAACTTCACTAGAAGCAAGATTTGAAAGTCAAAAGTGGCTTTCTGATGAACTTATGTCCCTTAGGAATCCAAGGGTGATCTAAGTGGCATTCTGAAATCTTGTCTTCAATACGAGAAACATGATGGTTCTAGCTAATTTCTGAGTTGTGGAGACTTAACATGATTGAAATAATACATTGACTTGAGGTTTATAAAAAGTATTTTTAATAGGCACCACACTAGCCATTAAGTTGTTGTTATTGCTGTTTAAGTCCTTCTGTATGAATGTCAGTAGCTCACTCTTCTCCCCTTTGCTCTCTCTGTCTCTCCCTCTCTCTCCCCCTCTCTCATATTAAACACCAGTTAGCATGTCACAGAAAAAAAGTTTCTGTTTTTACTCTATGGCTGTGCCTCCAAGATAGCATGCAATCACTACCAACCCATGGAAGCAAGAGTCATCAGACATGCTCCCTCTCGTTGCTACTAACCAAGTCACAGTAACCAATGTCAAATGTCTGAACAGGCAGTTTCAGGAAAAATTTGAAAATACTATAGAATGAGGCAAGGAGGAAAATTAAAAAATGAATATAAGAAGAGATATTAGTTAGAAATGGCCTAAGCTATGAGCAAAATATCTTACTGAGAATGACTTTAAAATTAGAGGTTCATCTTCTCACCTAACAAGCATTCAGCAAGCAGACACTTGCAAGATAGTTATTGCTGGTCCAAGCATCAGATACCTTTTCCAGACAGATAGAAGAGAAAGAAGAACTGTGACAGACATGCACTAGGTGTATTATTTATTAGGGAATCTGAACCTCTCCCAGACACCTTCCAGCAAAATTTCCCCTACATCACATGCTGGGCTATATCACTTGGAATCTCTAATGGAACAGGAATAGGGAAGAGGGGAACAGGATCTTCATGATTGGTTTAATTTTAGACAATTTATGATCATTTTACGGCTTGGAGCAATTGCTACTCCATATAAACCAAGGTTCTGTTAGCAAGAAAGGAGATCACAGGTACTGAGTAGGTTACTAACAGTGTTGTCACAGGGTTGTGGCAGCAACACAGGGAATATTTTGAGACCAAACCAAGGAGAAACATGTCTAATCTTTAACTCCTGGGCAAAGATTTCAAAGCTCTCCTTAGGTCTTTTTGAAACCCAGACCATGCATAATCCCACAGTCATCTCTCACTCAGCAGTTAGTGTTCTTCCTTCCTCCTTCTCCACTTTGGTTTCACTTCTATGTCCTTTTCTATTATGTTGCTGCTCCCCCCCCCAAAAAAAATGCCTTTCAGCCCCATGAGCCAATGTTAGGAGATTATCTCTCCCCCAAAAGGCAGCTCAAATTGTTGAACCCTTCCCTGACCCGCTCAGTGAAAAGCATCTTATTCTGGGGCTAGGGGACGTCCATCAGAAAATTGAGGTCAAAAGGCAGATGCCACCCCAAAATCTAAAGACACAGGCAAATTCAGAGTCACAGCCAAAATCTCCTTTCCTGGAGCAGAAGACCCTGAAGCTGTCAGTTGGTAAGAACATTGAAATGGTAGTTTTGAAGAATTGCTAGACGCTCAGTGGGGACTAGCTTAAGAAGGAGAAATTCCTGCAAGCCACAAATTTTGGTGGGGGGATATTTTTATGGGTTTTACCTCCCAGAATCTCACAAGGTTCTCATGATAAAGAGTCAAGAAAGATCCCCTTGTGGCTCTGACAGAGGGAAGTGAAGGGTAAACATTGTGAAATATGCTCAGAATCTTCCCTGTGACAAAAGCTTACTTTCCAGGGTACGAGACTTTACCAGAGCCTGAATCCACCCAGGGGATGGGCATTTCCTTACTCCAGACCTCACCAGCCCTTCTGTGTCATGTAAGGTGGGGAAAAGGAGCCTAAGAAAAACTTGTAAGGTCACAGCCCAGGGACACAGGCCCACTATAAGACTGAGAATTAATCATAACATTCTAGAACGCTCTACTTCCCACCACCTTACCACATTAATTATAACATTCTAGAACGCTCTAGAATTATGAATGTTATGAATTAATCATAACATTCTAGAACGCTCTACTTCCCACCACTACTCCAACAGGCTCCAGTATAGTATCAGCAACTACAGCTGGAGGAACTGCAGGACACAGGTTCTGATGAGTTCTTGAGGGAGCATAAAGATAACAGGGAGACTACACAAGGAGGACATGGAAGTCTCTGACACCTGCAGCTATAGCAAATATTAAACAGCTAAACTCACAGCCAAATGAACACAAAACCTCACACTAAAGGCCAATTGCCCAATACATCAAGTCTGGCGTTCAAGGCATACTAAAAGGCAAGAAAGGAAACAACTCATGGTCTATGTTGTCTTTAATATAGACATACCTGGTTTTACATGTTTATTTTCAAAACTCAAAAACAATGTCATCCTAGACTTCACAGGCCATCTGTTTAAGTCAAGTGTCTCCAAAACAAAAGCACATTTTTCAATAGATACAGTTATTTATAAATTTTCTGCACCTAATATAATATTTTTCTAATAGATCATATTCATCATAAATCACACAAAATTAAAATGGATGAGATAAAAGTTAATTATACATTATAAATTGAGTTTCTAACGTTTGTCCTCAACCCCTGATAGCTAACATGTAACTTGAATACATGCAGCTGGTTGTGGAATCCACTTGGACAACAGGCAGAATTCTAGGATTCTTGTCTTTTGGCATCCACACTTTGTATAACATAATTTTCTTTCTTTGAAGAAGGGAAGGACCTATGGTTTGCTTCTCCTCAGTACAATGTTGTAAAGGAGATGAAATTTTGCAGATGCAAATGAGGTCCCTTGTCAGTTGTCTTTGAAATAATAAAAAAGAAGATTGTCTTAGATGGCCCTGCTAATGTAGCAGGTCAGTTCTTTAAAGGAAGATTCAAGCTTACTCTGGAAGAACAGACTCCAAGAAGGGAGGCTGTCCTACTGGCTTTGAAGAAGCCACATTGGGAACTGCCAATGGAAAGAGGAGTGGCAATTAGGAGCTAAGGACCTTACCCCTATGACCACAAGGAACTGAATTCCATTGACAACCTGAATGACCTTGGAAGAAGACCTCAAGATCTAGGTAAGAATGCAGGCTAGCCAATGCCTTGATTGCAGCCTGTGAGTCCCTACACAGAGTCATAAGATTAAGCCTGCCAATTGAGCCATGCCTGGACCCCTCATGCACAGAAACCGTGGATAATAAATGGGTCTTGTTTTAAGCCTAAAGATCTGCAGTTTGTTACATAGCATAGAAAATTAATACAACTGGTGCTAGTAAATTGGTTGACTCCAGTGTTCACAATTTTCAGTGAAGAGAGGCCTCTTGGGCCAGGAGATGACAATCCTGCATCCTTTTGGGTGCATATCAAATGAGATCCAGCCTGTGGAATGCTCCCCTCCTTTCATATTTTCCCCAATTCTTACACCTCAGTTGCAAGGATCAAAAAGTGTCATCGTATCATGTTTCCTTATTTTACTTCTCAAAAGCCCTGTAAGTTCACTAAAATTCTCCAAATTTAAAGGTTCTCAATTACAGCTCCTGAAATGAGTGGTCATTAAGATTTTATGAACAGGTGGCAGAGTAGGGGTGGGTAAGGCACAGACAATATCTTGGAGATCCCTCATCAGGAACAAGAGCTCTGTCACTCATGAGAATGCAAACCTCTCCCCCTTCCCCATCCCCCAATCCCAACCTCATGCCCTGCAAAGCACACACACACAACTCAAACATCACCCCAACATGTGCGTGTGAACAGACATACACACACATACAACAGTTTTCTCTTTTCCCTTCACAGCATACACTCTGCTACTTCTGAGTTTTAGTTGAGAATCAATAAGAGAAATAGACTTAAACAGAGCTTCACATTCTGAAGCGGAGCATTCATCATAGTGCATAGGAGCATAATTGCATAAGATCTCAATTTAAGTACCCCCAAAAGTCAGGGCACCAGAAGTTGTATATTTTTGTGTCTTACTAACCACATGAATTTAAAAAAAATTCATTATCCTAATACTCTACAAAATTGAAACACTAACACCTACCCTATAATATTGCTGTAAAGATTAAATGAGGTATGGCAAATGTTAACTACCATAGCATGTGATAGAGTCTAAATTAGTGTGTGCCTGCTTCTTGCATTAGCTAACCTGTTTCCTACATGGATGGTACTTTAGGATTATAATTTTGCACTTCATATGTGACCTGTACTATGTTCCCATCAAAATAGTCACTTGTTTCAATTTGGCTCCTTGTCAGTGCATACATTCACCCTCATGAGTATCACAGCACCCCTAATTAAATGCTTAACATGTTAAGGTAATATTTTGAAGTTTCTTCCTCTTTTCAGTGTTGGCAGTAATTCTTGATAGCTCTAAATCAAACAGCTTTATAACTGGGCAAAAATGAAGGAAAGATTCCCAAGGATCTATTCTGTACTGCCTCTTGCTAAATTGAATAGAAGCTCCATACAGATCCACTCATGTGTTTGTGTGTTTTTTTTTTTTTAAGGATATCTGAGTGGCTTATCTTGCTCCTCTATGTCAAATGTGTATGAACAACAACTAATACTTGTAGAGCACTTTGGATTTCACAAAGTGTTACAAACTTTGTAAAAACTCTGTAAGAGAAAAGGACCCAACTTTGCTGCACACTTAGTATAAGATGGTCATCATTCTAGGCACCTTTTGTACATTTTCTCATCTAATCCTTGTATCAGCCATATAAAAGAAGTTTTTGCTATTACAGGTTTCTGTGGAGTAAAAGAACACAGATAAAAGTTAAATATGTTTCTATGGATTATACAGATATGAAGTAATTGGTCCAAAACTTGAATTTAAGACATGATTTCAAACTCTGGGCTCTGTTTTCTAAAGGAAAAGGTATAATTTCCTTAATAGCCAGAGGCTCTTCATCTTCTATGAGGTAGGATATGGGGACAAAGCTTTGTAGAAAACACACTTTATAACCTCCTATTATGTTTCCTGTCTTATTAGTATGTTTCTATCTGGTCATGGAGGCCCCTTTAAAGGCAAGGTGTACCTCTAGTGGATCCCCTATAACACCAAGGCAGGAACTGAGCATCGTAATTTTTAGGTGAAGGCTCTCAGAATTTCCTAAAATAAAAAATGTATTGAGATATAAATTTGTATCATCATTTAAGGCAAACCCATCTCAAAGGGTAAAGAAGTTTTTCTCTGGCTGATGGTGAATGGAAGATAGGAGCAGCAGATGTTTAGATGACTTCCCAGCTCTTAAGTCAAATGATTTCCTCTGCTTTGATTTAGTGAAATGGCCTATATTTATTATGTTTGCAAAGTAATACCAGAAGGCACTTTCGTGATACATGGATACATAGAACTACCACATTCAGAAAAGACAGGACTGACAGTCAAGGGAATCTCTCACGTTAGTCTCTAGGATCTCCTCACAACATGTCTTTACATTTGCCATTGCGGTGAGAGAATAAGAGCAAACCACTGATACCTTCTAGAGGAAAATGGAAAGGAAGATCACACTTTGTGACATTTGCAACTAAGCCATCATTCCCACAAGTATCTGATAGGCACTTACACATTCCAGTCCTGACCTAGTCTCTAGACCTATATTGAGTTAAAGGAGACATAGTCTCTGCCAGCAGTCAATTTTGAATCTGGGAAGGGAGACAGAGACACCTCCAACTAGCTATAAAGTGATATCATAATAAGTAGAATATTGGAATCAGAAGGAATGGTAATACTTTCATGTAAAAATTCATATTTGAGTTTTGAAAGATGAAAAAAATTTCAAGCTGGGAGAGGTATTCCAAATTCCAGAACAGGTAAAGTGAAGGCTTGGAGTCCTGAAAATGTTCCTGTGCTCAGTGAATGAAGAGACCTGAGATTATCATACTGCTGGGAGGAGCGGGAGATACAGGGCAGACTAAGCAAGGAATCCAGGCTGAGGAAGTCCTTGGGGCCACACGAAGGCATGTGGACTTGGTCCTGCAGCTGATGGAGAGCCTGGAGGGCTTTAAGAAACAAAGATGTATCTTGAAGTCCATCCTTTGGGAAGATGCTGTGGCAACTGTGCAAAAATGAACCAAAGGGAGGTGAACCTGGAGCTAGTCGAGGCAGTTACAAGGTTCTGCATGTGCTGAATATGGGAATCATGGCAGGAAAGAAGTCTCGACTCTGGTGTGAAGTGAGTTAGAGAAAGGAGTTTATGATGACTCAGAAGAGTCTCTGGATTAGAAAACTGGGTGGAGAATATCACTATTACCCAAATCATGAACGGGAAATGAAAGAGGTCTGCTTTGCCCCAAGTTATGGGGCAAAGATCTGGTAGAACATGGGTCCTGACAACCAGCCCTCCAAAAAACAGGAACATGAAAAGAAATTAAGAAGGAAATAGAAATGAAAGCATAGGTGGGCCTGGTATAAGAATTATTTTTTTAAAAAGAAGGCGATATTAGGAAAGAGGACGGTGGAGTGGAAAGAACACGGAGTCCGAGATTTGAGTTCCGTTAACAGTGCGGCTCATCACTTTCTGTGACCTTGAACAACTAACTTCTCTGCACTTCAGTTTCCTCATACATGATAAGTGTCAATAACAGTAACTGATGTACTTTGCTCATTGAAATTTTGTGTAGAAGTACAAGGCAAAAGATACAGGAAAGTCTCTGGGTCATGTTATGAAAGGGCCATCTCTGCCTTTGGTCAGGCCCTGGGGAGACACAGCGATGCGCCATCAGATCCTGTTTGGTAACAAAGGACTTACAGTCCCTGCTCTGAGGAGTGTTGCTAATGAACAGACTCCACTCTAATTAAGGCTATAATTCACATCAAGTGAAAGTAGTTTTTTTGTTTTGTTTTGTTTTGTATTTTTTTATTTCAGCATATTATGGGGGTACAAATGTTTAGGTTACCTACATTGCCCTTGATCTACCTGAGTCACAGCTTCAAGTATGTCCATCCCCCAGACGGTACACACGGCACCCATTAGGTGTGAATATACTCATCCCCTCCTTCCCCCTCCCACCTGCCTGACACCTGGTGAATGTTACTACCATATTTGCACATAAGTGTTGATCAGTTAATACCAATTTGATGGTGAGTACATGTGGTACTTGTTTTTCCATTCTTGAGATATTTCACTTAGTAGAAAGGTTCCAGCTCTATCCAGGAGAATACAAGAGGTGCTATATCACCATTGTTTTTTGGGACTGAGTAGAACTCCATGGTATACATATACCACATTTTATTAATCCACTCATGTATTGATGGGCACTTTGGTTGTTTCCATGTCTTTGCAATTATGAATTGTGCTTCTATAAACATTCTAGTTTTTAATCCAAACTCTAATTGATTATGGTTGCTACAAGAGATTTTAGGTTCCAAAAAGATTCAAAAGGAAAGATTTCTATGATCAATCAATGCTGTCTACACAATGCCAAGGGGAATGGCACATCTCATGTCTTGTGTTTCCATCATTTTTGGAAGAAAAGAATATTAGAAAATGTCCCCCCACATATTTTGGGTAGAAAGGGAAATGTGGAGAGAAATAGATGTTTGAGAGGGCTATGAGATAATAGAGACTTAAGGTGAAGTATTCCTCTCTTGATCTTCTTGATTCACTGCTTCCTGTATGGCATGGAGAAATAATTCTGAATTGATACACGATCACCCAGCAAAGTGTCCTCTGCACTAAGTAATAAAAATCCATGCTGGGTTTCCCCTAAGACTCTATAAAATCTCTAGGCTTGCAGTTTCTTTTCAAAATGTGTTCTTGATCCAAAAGCAGCCTTTTTTTGATGGCACATATAAAACAGGCTAATAGTTTAGGTCCAAGTATAAGAAAGAGATATACTTTCCTAAGTCTACTCAGTGTATTATAAAATATAACTAAGTCATATTGCACCCACCCCCTGCTTTCCAGCCCCACTATTAGCAGCTGGAGAGCCCTTTCACAGGCAACCACCAATGAAAATGTGCCAATTACCAACTTGTAGGTCCTCTCCTTTTAATTCAATTATATGTTTTACTCATTACTAAACAATTACAATGGCCAAACACTGTGTTTTGTGATGATATAGGTTACAA